AATTGGTTTTCCTTCTGCTGTATTTTCCTGCATTATGTACTTTTGCCTTGACAGTTTGCATCTGGTTTGGGTTTGCCATGCTTAGTTTGATAGTTTTGGCACCTTGTTACATTTGGTTTGGTTACTGCAGTTGGTATTCAGTTTGGCATAATTTTGCTGCAAGTTTTCTTTGTATGCAGCTTGTCTTTGTATGCTTGCCTTGTATCTTGCTTTGTACAGCATGGCCCATGTTTTGCATTTGAACCAATTGCTTTTGTATGCTTGCATTTTTTTATCTTTTACTTTTCTCTTTGTGAACCAAGAAGAGCAATCTTCTTGTGATTTTCAAAGAGAAAAATAAAAACATGATGAACAAATAGCATTTTGATTCCGGCTGGCAAACTTTAATGATGACCTTCTCCTTTCTTTTTTGTTTGAAAATTCTTTTTTCAATTAACTGTACTAATTTCTTTTTCTTTCTTCTTTTTCAGGTGAATGCAACTTGGACGATAGAGGAAGCAGAGGACTTTGAGACCTTGAGCATGGAAGCACTGAAGCTTAGGAGATTTAAGCTTAGAATTAGATAGACTTTTTTTTCATTTATTGTAAACATTTATTTCTTTTTAAAATACTATAAGTTGTAAAAACTTACAATATTCAAAAATAATAAATTATCTTTTTGTAACAATATTTGAAAATGAATAAAAAGAGTCTTTATCCAAAAGAAATATTTCTACTGTCAAATATCTTGCCCTTCTTCCTTGCATGTTCACTTAATTATTTAAGACTCTTAAATCAAAATAATTGAAACTGCGTTTCAACAATTCTAATCCAGATAACTTAAATTCCAAATAAACAAAAACTTTGCAGTCTCGTAACCTCGCATCAGTATTCCAATCACAATACGCATTGTATAATAAACAAGCAAGCATTCCATTAACCGGCAAACATTTCATTCCAATAACAAGCAGATGTTTTAACAGACGTGCATTATCTGGTTAATCTGGATTAGAAAGTTTCAACTCCTATCTCTTATCCCAGATAAACAAAACTTGAGGAGAAACAACAAAAAAAGCGTGAAAACAATGTAACATGAAACTGAATTTCTATGGATTTAATTTCTTCTGAGAAACGCGAGAGAAAACCTAATTCTTGATTTACTGCCAAAGAAAAGTATGTTTGATCGATTCCTGAGCCAATCTTAAAAATCAGAGAAAACCCTAGGGTTGTGATTTTCTTGTGAAAAAGGGAGGGCAAATTTTGGGGTACAACACTATGAATGGACTAAAAAGTTGAGTTCAGGTCAAAGCTACACTAAAAACTGCATCAAAGGGGTTGACGAAGAGGTTGTTAAAGTCGTTGGTCATAATGTTAGGAAATTTGATCGTCAAAGGTATTGCTTCTTAGTTGAAGAAACTATGAATCATAATGAGTGTCGACCTTCTAAGCATTTCAACATCGACCTCAAAAAACCAGATATGTGAGTATGGAAAATTTCAAGCCTTCCATGTTCCTTGCTCACACGCCATTGCAGCATGCTCTATGATTCACCAGGATTATACTTTGCATATAACTGATATGTTCAAGTTGTTATTGTGTTCAAAGTCTATGAAAAAAGCTTCCTCGGGGTTCCGACTGAATCAAGCTGGCCTCGGTACGAGGGAGACACTCTTTGCCACAATGACACCATGAGAAGAAGAAAGAAAGGTCGTCCAAACAGTTCCCGCATTAGAAATGAAATGGAAGATGTTCCAAAGGAACCAAGGAGATATGGTATTTGTCGCGAATTCGGGCATATATGCAGAAAATGTCCAAACATAGCTAGACCTTCTAATTAATTGTGTTTGATGTTTTAGTTAATTGTCTCACCGTATTGTAATTTCTTTCTACAACAACGGAAAATCTAATTTAAATTTCAAACTTCCGGTTACATCACAAGAACATTTACAACTAGGGCTGTTCAAATGAACCGCCAAACTGTATCGAATCGAACCGAACTGGGGTTAAAATAACCGAACCATTAGTAACGGTTAGTGAACCTAACTTATATTTTAGGGTTAAATATACAACCCCTGTAATGTTAGTGAGTTTAGGTTTTGTTGGTGATTTTAGTATCACCAATGTATTTTAGTAGTAATGTGATTTACTAAAGGCCGATGCAATTATGCGTTAAGCTTGGAAACGAGTTAGGGAAGTGCGGAGTGCACGCTCGTCGAGTCAATGTATAATTGAATATGAATAATTGAAACGGGGTTCCAAGGGGCGAAGCCCCTGGAGGGGTGCGGGGCAGCGCCCCGTTGGGGTTCCAAGGGGCGAAGCCCCTGGCGGGGTGCGGGGCAGCGTTCCATTGGGGTCCAAGGGGCGGAGCCCCTGGCTGGGGTCAGCGGGCGGGTGCGGGGCAGCGCCCCGTTCGAAAATTTTGAATCCTTTTCCCCAACCGACATAACCGTTTTTCCGAACATGTGTGTCTTTTCGGTTTCAGTTATTGATCTCCTATATAAGGAGTCATTTGGCCTCGGTTTCAAATACGAAAAACGACACTTTCTCTCTACATTTGTAATCAGTTTCTTTTGCCAGAAACAGATTGTTCTTCGAGAATTATCCCCACAAAGATTTCGTGAACCCATGCAAGAATAGGGTCGAAATATTTTGTTCGGAAAGTGTACGAACACGATTCTTCGAAGTTATCCAGGATTATCATACCTAAATATCTAACAGGTTTTAGCCCCTGGTAAAGTTTTTTTTTTTAAAAATTCCCTTGCAATTTCAAGATTCCTTCAATTAGACCCCTGGACACGCTATTTCACTTAAGATTCTTTATATTTTTTAGCGTGGCAGTCCACGTTGGATTTGTTTTTTTTTTTTTTTAATGTCAAGTGGAATTTCTCTATTTTTAAAATTTTTTATTTAATTTTTTAATATATTATTTTTTGTATATTAATTTTTTTAATGTTTTTTTAAATGTTTTTATTAATATTTATAAATTAAATATTAAAATATTATTTTAGAAAATCAAAGTCTAATATTTTTTTTGATAGCACATACTTAATTTTTTGAAATTTAATGTGTGAGAAAGCTATATAAACTCTTCCATATTGAGTATATTTTTTATGTGGGACTGGAGAAGCATCTCTTCACACAGTTACGATGAAAACTTTATTCCAAAGTTATCATTTCTTCCAAAGGAATGAATCATGCATTTCTTCCAAAGTTACGATGAAAACTTTATTCCTTAGACAATGAACATAAATCCAACCCTTTCTCACTCCTACACTAATCATGCATAAATAAATTGATACCCAGAAAGGGGCACCCAACCCAAAACATACCAATAAACAATATAAACTAAAATCACTAAAATTTAACTCATTTTATTTTGATATTCCTTCAATTGAGCAATATTTAATTCATTAGGATCCTTCAAAAGTGGCATCACAATGATAGATAGGTAAGAAAGAACATAAAAACTTACAGAATCAACAAACAATGATGCAAAACCTCAATGGCTCTTAACCTGCATCAATTGATGAGAAATACAATGAATCAACAAAATGTAAACAAATTGTGAAATAAAAAAATGTAGAGTGTTACAATATACCTTTGATTGAAAAAAAAAAAGAAAAAGAAAAAGGTGTGTTTGATTGAAGAATGTGTGAAAGTAGAAAGTGATTTAAAGAATAGAGCACAGTTTGTTTGAGAATTTGTTAGCTTCTTCGTGAAAAACCAAAAAGAGATTGTCAACTATACATGAAACCAATGTTTTATATAAAATAATGAAACCATGACAAACTTAAGAACAAGCAGCTTACCAGGCGGCACATTGTTTGGAGATCCAGGTAGAAAAAATTTTGTGTTATGATTCTTTTAGGCTACAATAACAGTAAACTTTGAGTTTCAATTCTCATCATGAAAGCAAGTTGACAATCTAGATAGAAGTTAGAGTGAACTTAAGGAAAAATGCTCTAGATGTGTATAGTGCACGTTTACGTTGTTACTAGTATAATTTGAGTTTTTTCGAAAATAAAAAAATTGTTTTTTTTTTAAATAAAAAATGTCGATTTTTTGAAAATTTAAAAAATTAATTTTTTAAAAAATCAAAATTTCAATTTTTTTAGAAATTAAACAATTATTTTTTTTCAAAAAATAAAAAAATATTTTTTTTTTAAAATCAAAAAGTCGATTTTTTCGAAAAAATTTGAAAAACAATTTGTTTAAAAAAAAAGTTTTTGAGCAGGGTGTCAATTGGGTCAACAACCCGCAACATTGCCTTGCCTTTAATTCATGTCATATGCCCTATCATTTTCCTACCTTAAAAATAATTTAAAAAAATTATAGAAAAAATGGACGATGGTGTAAATTATTTTTATAGTTTTAAATAATGACAATTATATATTCCATCAAGTTATAAATTAAAATTACTTTTATGATTTGTCATTTTAAATATTTTAATTGAATGAATGAGTAATACTTCTTTACATTGATAAATATATTTCATTATTATTTTATCTTATTTTATTAGTTAGTGAGTAACAGAGAATTATAAGAGCTAGTTATAGCAATCTGTTTGTATCAAAATTTTGTTAAAAATATAGACAGTAAAGTATTATTGTAACTTAATCACTACTTTTTCCAATAATAAATGAAAGATGATTCAATATTATTATTTTGCCATGTTTATAATATAGCCTTACTTTTGAAATGAGATAGTAATAGATTTAAAGCATGAAGAAGGAATAATAGTTAGGCAAAAGAACAAAACAAATAGAAGAATATAGCGGTGTTGTTTGTTCTTGCAAAGAGGCATCAAGAATAACTAGAAGGAGTGTCTTTTCAGATACCTGAGGTGTCTTTTCATAATACTTGTTAATTAAACTATAATTTGATGATTTTCACTTCAAAATCAAATGAAGTAATCAAAGCATTTGCTTCAACTTGCAACCCAAATTAGTATTAATATCTTCAAAATTGTTGTTTATTAACAAGTATTATAGCTTCTGGTGGTGCATTATATTAGAGTTGCAATGTCATTTGATGATGTTTCCATGGAGAGTAGCAAGAGCTTTGTTTTTGCTCTTCAGGTAACTAACTTCATTCAGATCTCTATCACATTGTTTTAGGGTTTTCAGACTCTATTTCATATGACAACTTTTTTATTTGAGATGCAATTCCTATTGTTGATTGATTCTTGTGTTGTTATGTGTTTTCAGGAACTGAAGAACTTGAGGCCTCAACTCTATTCTGCTGCAGACTACTGTGAAAAATCCTATCTTCATAGTGATCACAAAGAAATGTAAGATGTTTCTTTGTTGTCATGGAAGGCAATCTTAGCCCCTTTTTTTTGGTGAATAAGCTCTTACCGTGTCAGTGATTTATGTTTGAATAAATTCTTTAAAAATCGAGTTGAACACTAAATTTCAATGTATAGACTCATAAGTTACAAATCTTAGCTTCAAGTAGAATCAATTCTAGAAAAGCATGCTCAATTCTACTCGTGAACAACCAAACATATCAAAACCAATTCTACACGTTCGGGCTTTGTTTGGATTGAGGAATCAGATGGAGCGAAGCGGAGTGGGATGGAATAGAATGATATTCCATTGTTTGGATCATTTAAAATCGGATGGAGCGGAGTGGTATGGATTTCATCCCCATTTCATTCCATCACTTACCACCATATTCCTTCCCCTCCGATTTGGGCAGAATGAACAACTTGCTTTGTTCCGTCCTAAAATTCTCAAACAATGGAATGGTATCTTCGTTCCGCTTCGCTCCATTTTGTTCCGTTCATTTCATAATATCCAAACATAGCCTCAGAATCTATTATGTGTGCTCCAAACGCGAATCCAAACATACATACCGGGACAAACAAATGTCATTTTATCAAAGCACTTTGCTAGTTAATATTATTGCTAAATCTTTGTGTAGTATCATTCTTTAGGTATTTCAATAAATGTAAGTTGTATGCTTTGCTTTATGTGGTTAGGATTAAAGATAATGATGTGCATAAAAAACTAGATATGTAAGTTTAGAGTGCTTAAACAGTAATTTAACACGGTGATTTCTGATGACAGTATCTAAACGGTCTAAAAGTGCATTAACTAAACTTTGTTTTTTTGTTGTAACATCTGTGAGCACTGATTCAGTGAATCCCAATTTCCAGTGTCAGCGTTATTGTTTATATGCAGAACTATTTTGATTCTTAAAATATATGGTTGTGTGAGTGTCTCAATGGTGAAACTGGTGGAAAATGGATGTTTTGGCCAATGGTCGTCCTTGAAATTTTTGTGACTAGTTATTTTAACAGTTTGTGAGAGATATTATTAGCTTACGCATCATCTGCTGACCAATAAGTCTTGTGTATTTGACCTGCATGGATTTCAGGGTACTTGAAAACCTAAAAGATTATGCTGCAAGTGCCATTGTAAATACTGTTGATCATCTTGGGACTGTGGCTTACAAGTTAACTGACCTTCTTGAGCAGCAAGCATTGGATATCTCAACCATGGACTTGAAGATCTCTACTCTAAACCAGGTCATTACCAGACCTTTTAAGATATCGTGTTAAATTAGGTATTTCTAATGGAGTTGAAGTGACATATTTCTTACATGCAGAGACTTCTTACATGCCAAGTATATACAAATAAAGAGGGTGTTCGGCAACAGCAGCTGTTGGCTATTATTCCTCGACATCACAAGCACTACATTTTGCCAAGTAGGCTTAACTGCTTTAACTTTTCTCCATAATTTGTTATCGACACCACAGATGTGAATTTTGTTTTTACTTATGCTTCTTTCTTGTTTCTGTTTAACAACGCAAGCTAGATTCGGTCAATAAAAAGGTACATTTCCGTCCATACAAACAAACTGATGCAAAACAAAATTCTTTTAAAAGCAGAACGCGTCCTCAACCTTCAGGTGTGTGGTTTGGAAAACCGTCTCTTCTGAAGTGTTTGGTTTTAATGTATGCCCCTTTAGGTTTTTTGGCGAGTGGACGTTATTTTATTCAACTGAATGCATATTATCGTATTTAGGTACCCCTGTTGCAAAAACTCTTTCATGGCATCTAGCATCAGAAACTAAGTCAACCTTAAAAAGACGAAGTTCACATGCTTCCAAAAAGTAAGTTTTTAATTTGAGGCTTTGTAGGACTGTTGCTATATTTATTTTTCTTAGTTAACATTGATGGTATTATTGTAGCACAAAGTTGCAGCGTTTGTTTAAAACTTTTACACACCCACTTTTGCAGAATCAAGGACCCAAAGTTTTCTTCCAAGACCACTGGAGTTTTCCACCTTGTAGGTATGTCAAATAGTAGTATCCCTTGTATTTGTTGATTATGTTTTATTCTTTCTGTTTTTCTTTCAGTAGTTTTTTTGTTTCCATTTATTCCTTCATATAATTCAGCTTCCTTAGATAGGATTCACAGCTCTGACTTCTCAATCCATAACCTCTTTGGATTCCCACTTATGTAGTAAATGTATTTGTTTTGTATCCTCAAATTATAATGGATCATATTTTCATCAATTTCGAGTTGTTCTAGAAGACTGGAACATATTATCAGCTTTTGTTTCGCGGCATTCAGCCACTTTATTAAGCCACCTCAGCCATGACTCATCCAACATTAGGTGAAACACCTACTTCAAGAACTAAGTTTTGCTAGAGAGGACTAAACATATTGTGGTTTGCTGTTATTTCTTTAGGGTAAAGTCTCTTGTAAGTCTCATAAGAATTAAGGCTTCAAGTGTTTTATGCAGATAATCAAGACATTATGCAGTTAAAACCCTCGGCGCCAAAAAACCACATTCCAAATGGAGTACCTACTTCTAGTGCTGCCACCCAAACTCTCGGAGTCACAGGAAAGGTAATGTCATATTCAATCGCAAGTTTGAATGTTGTTCCATGCTTAATAGAATAGTCAAATTGTGATTATATTGACCCGTTTTTTGCAATTGTTTGCATGCTTTTTAAAGTGATCATGTTTGGCAAGTTATGCATTTTTAGTGCTTATGTTATGTAACCTTTCCATAGTGAAGTTAGTGATGAATTTTCGTCTGCAGGATGCATTAGAGGGTTTCAGACCATTGACAAAATTTGGGTCCTTTAACAATCAAAATGTGCATGAGACTGAGACAGTTCATGTTCCTAGTCGCAGCAAAAGTGTGCTATCAAGTCTTTTTGTGAAGCAAAGATCTGCAAAATTGAGAGCTGGTTCTGTCTCATAAATACCTATCTGATTTGTGAAGATGTTACCTTATATTTTGACAGAAAAAGAGTTAAGAAAACACTTCAATCAATCCAATTGCATTATGCTCTTTCTTTTGACTATGCATCTACTAATGCCCGGAGCCACTTTATTTTATATTTTGTAGTCATGCCTTTTAATAATGACAGTGTATAATAATTGTTCATGCCTTTGAATAATGACCGTGTCTAATAATTGTATAGTGAAGGCTATAATATAATTTTCATAGTGAATGATGAATATTTTTATTTTGATACTAGTAAGAAATCCGTGTTGTCGTACGGATCTCGTCTGGATTCATATTACACGTATAATGACTAAATTGTTAAGTGTGACATCATGTTTTGAGTTGGATAATATTAATATAGTTATAATTTATAATTATTTATCAAATTTTAACTCATGTGTTTGGAGTATCTATATAATTTATTTTGCATATGGTTCGGATTTATAATATCAAACAAATTTTAAATATTGGTTCGTATTTATAATAAATCGTACAATCATTTTTATAACTTCAATTATATAAAACAGCAACAAAAATAGTTAAAAGATAGACATTAAAATGATCAGACAATAGCTGATATCTCATTGATACGTTCACATCTACCCGTGATTTCAGATGAGTTAACAAACTCCAACTGAATTCAAATGAGTTAATTCTAAAAATTTATTCAACCTATTTTAGATATTAGTCTATTTATCCAAACCTAAAATGTATGATAGCTCCCCGTCAAATTTCAGTTTTAAATTTTTTTATTATATTATATTTACATTTTTTACAACCTATAATGTATTACAACTCCTCGTTAAATTTCATTTTTAAAACCTTCTTATTAGATCTTATTTACAAATTTTACATATCTAAATGTATGACAATATCCGGTTTTTTTTTTTGCAATAACCAGGTTTTGAAGGAAAAAAACACAAATAACTATGTTTCGAAGAAAATTACGCAAATAACCATGTTTCGGAGAACTCCATAAAGGAGGAGCCAACCCAGTTAGCGCATGCACCTAAAAGTAAAGGGGAGGCGTCATCTCACTTGGCGTCTAGGTGTTAAAAGTTTGCCTTAAGCCATGTGAGATGACGCTTAAGTGCAATAGAGGTGCAATTTTTTCGTTTTTTATTTTAAATGCGGGACATTAGATAAACGATATAGCTTCACGAAAATTTGACTTTTTATTTACAAAAAACGATTACATAATAAAAAAACATACAAAATAGTTAGTGGTCCTCCGGAACTCGGTAACGATCCGCGGTTCCACATCCGCGTCATCTTCTGTCTCGTGGTGGGTTTCGTCGCGTTTCTTGTTGTGGCAGGGTCGATGGTCCAACGAAGTCAATGCATTCAGGATCCTTGAAATCGATCAGATCTCCATATCTGGAAGATCCACTTTGATACAGTCGGTTATCCATATCCTCAAAGTTTGGTCGTCTTGGTGGTGGGCGGGGTTCCATGGTTGGTTTATAGCACTGGTCATCTGAGTAAGAGGATAGAAAGGAAATGAATCTTGGGGTGTTTGATATTGCGAATGTTGGGTGCTATGGTGATGTGGTGGTTGATGGTAAGTTGGTTCGGTTGAGTCATATTCTTCGGAAAATCCCAGATCAAGGCTAAGGTTAGATGTTAAAGGATCCATATTAGGATATGGAGAAGACTGAAATTGTGTGTGGGGCATGCGGGTGTATTGGTATTGTGATTGAGATTGTGGTTGGGTGTGGGGCATATGGGGGTATTAGTATTGAGGTGGTGATTATGGTTGGGTGTGGGGCATATGGGTGTATTTGTATTGTGGTGGTGATTGTGGTTGGATGGTTGTGGATCTGTATTGTCGGGGTGGTTGCTGGGAGGTTAATGTGTGTTGAGTTTGTTGTTGGGGAAATGAGGGTTATGTCCATTGTGTTCATGGGTCAACCAAATACATTGGATGAGACACGTGCATTTATGGGTTACTAATTGATTTGTACCAAGCTAAATATTGATCTGTGTGTTGTATATTACCCTGGTTGAGGAAAACAGGGAATTGCAAGACATATTGGTGACGCTTATGCCACATCTTACACCATTCTAGAGCAAAATATTTCCAATTAGAATGACCCTATTGGACGTCGACCCTTTTGAGATGCCACGAGGACAAACAAGTTGGATCGCAGAGTATCTCTTGATGCATTTCAAACTGCATCTTGACACAGTCGTTGTGGTGCATCTCCATAATATTAAATCGTATGATTGCAGTCTTTGCGGTCTAAATTGCTGCATCCTCGGAGTTTGGTTCATGGTTCAAACCTAAATATAGTCTCCAGATAAAACTGTGGATAAAATTAAATCAACATAATAAAAACTTAATAAATAAATAATTTTAAAGTAGAAAAGTTTAAAGGTACAACGTACATCATTCGGGCCAAGGTGATCCAGTAGATTGTGATATAGAGCGATATTGAATCTTGGATTCTTTCCGTAATCCATACTCGTCACGCAGTACCTAAAGGAATTGTAAAATAGTTTATTTTCATCATATATTTGGCGAACAAATGAATAATAAATGATAAAGTTCTTGAATTACTTTGTTGCGTATGGAAAAACAAATGCGTTGTTGTTGACGGGGTTTAGGAACTCTATTCTCCACCAACCCCAGACTTGGAGTAAGAAAGCGCATCCATAAAAAGTACATTTTTCCTTGGTTGCATTTTTACACAAAGAACTGTATATATGGGCTAAAACAGCAGAACCCCAACTATACTTTCTAATTTTTTCAAAGTTTCTAAGTAAATTTAAATACATAAAATTTACACTATTCCCCGTACTTTCGGGAAATAAAAAGGTTCCAAATAGTATCATTATATAATTTCTAGCTTTTATAACTCTAGCTAGTTCGGAGGAATTTTCGTTCAACTCCAGAGTCGCATAATATTTTTTGAGTTCAGTAAGTAATATACCTTGTCCTCTAGCACCACCACCTTCAACCATATCTTTGCCCAACAATTCCTTGCATAGAGAATTGGGTTGTTGATTTGACCAGTTAACCGCCTTACCGTCGACAGGGAGACCCAATAACATGTACGCGTCCTCTAGTGTGACGGTACATTCACCTATTGGTAGATGAAATGTGTGTGTCTCGGGTCTCCACCTTTCTAACATTGTAAGTATAAACTTTAAATCAATCATACAGTTGAAGATCTTTATAACATTTATGAAACCCGCATATTCGAGATAGGCACGATTAACGGGTCGGGGGCAATGTAGTTGTGTGAGCGAATTCTGAATCTTTTAGTATCCTAAATTTAAAATATAAAAAGTGTAAGAGTCCATAAGATGTATAAATCATTAATAATATTATAAAAAATATGTAAGTATACAAGAATATTTGAGAATTTATAAAAACATACAAACGCCGCAATATTGTCCCTTGTGCCTCTGAGAATCGCCCATTGTGAGAAGAGCCATAGTTGAAATTGTATAAGATAATGAAAGAGTTTGTATCTGAGAGTGAGATGATTCTTGATGCAAAATAAGTATGTGAGAATCTGTAATTATAGGCAAAATTTTATCACATAGTGAATAAATGAGGTGGTTGGTGGGTGCATGTATGCATGATAAGTGTCACTCATGAGGTGGTTGCAGTGTAGGTGCAGACTAGGTGGTATCCTTGGAGAAGGCATCTCTGCATGCATGTAATACGATTAGACATGTAGGGAGGCGCCATTTGATTTGACGAATGAGTATAAAATTGAAAGGTGTTGTTATCCCAGTTGGCGAATTAGAGATGGCATGGGTTGCAGTGTAGGTGCAGGCTAGGTGGCAGCCTTGAGAAAGGCATATCCGCATGCATGTAATACGATTGGACATGTAGGAAGACACCATTTGACTTGGAGAATGAGTACAAAATTGAAAGGTGTCGCCATCCTAATTGCGAATTAGAGGTGGCATGGGTTGCAGTGTATGTGCAGGCTAGGTGGTAGCCTTGGGGAAGGCATCTCTACATGCATGTAATACGATTGGACATGTAAGGAGGCGCCATTTGACTTGGAGAATGAGTACAAAATTGAAAGGTGTCGCCATCCCAGTTGGCGAATTAGAGGTGACATGGGTTGCAGTGTAGGTGCAAGCTGGGTGGCAGCCTCGGGGAAGGCATCTCTGCATGCATGTAATACAATTGGACATGTAGGGAGGCGCGGCGAATGAGTACAAAATTAAAAGGTGTCTCCATCCCAGTTGGCTAATTAGAGGTGGCATGGGGTGCAATGTAGGTGCAGGCTAGGTGGCAGCCTTGGGAAAGGCATCTCTGCATGCATGTAATACGATTGGACATGCAGGGAGGCGAATTAGAGATTGCTTACTGTTTTATTTTTCAAATTCAGTACAACCTATTTAATCCTACATTTATCAAAACACTTCTACACTCAATCACTCAAACACTCGAACATTCAAAAATTTAAACAATCAGGCACTCAAACACTTAAACATTCAAACACTCAAACCTTCAAACATTCAAACATTCAAACACAATGGCCTTGGCACCATAATATGTTATCAGTGTACATTTCAATAGTGAGACATACATTTGTCCCACCTCTGGGTTTTTTTTTAGAGACACTGAGAACATCTGATTTTGTTAAAGCAGGAAAGCCAATTTCTTGTATTTCAAAAAATGATTGGAGGTCAAACTTGGACGAGGTCCTGTGACACAAATCTTCTATCAAAATCCGTTTTATTGTGAGAACCAAATAATATATTATAAGGTTGAGGTTTAAGATGATGAGGACCTTCAGAATATACTTTCCAGTCATGAGTATTCTAGGTACGACTCTATTAAGTTGTATATTATGCTGCGGGAGCCTCAGCTATCACGACCAACTCAGTCACAAGTGGTTGATCCTCTCGAGGCCGAACAAGCGGAAGTAGATGTCATTGACGAAGAAGAGGAAGACGACGAGTTAGAGTTTGACGACATGGTCAGCGATGATTCTGAAGACGAT